TCAGCAATTGGATCCATCATGTATATCATGTTATGCACTCAGATTGATGTCTCATGTGCTTTGAGCACTTGTAGTAGATATCAATCGAATCCAAGTGAGCGTCACTAGATGGCTGTCAAGAACATTCTTAAGTACCTGAAGAGGACTTAGGATATGTTCTTGGTTTATGGAGGGGAAGATGAGCTCACTGTAAAAGGATACAGCGATGCTAGTTTCCAAACAGACAAAGATGATTATTGATCGCAATCGGGGTTTGTATTTTGTCTCAATGGAGGTGCAGTGAGCTAGAAGAGCTCCAAGCAAAGCACTGTAGCAGACTCTACAATGGAGCTGAATATTACATTATCAGATGCGACCAAGGAGGTAGTCTGGATTAAGAAGTTCGTCACTGAACTTGGTATGGTTTCCACGATTGTTGATCCAATAAACATCTATTGTGACAACAATGGAGCAATCGCTCAAGCCAGGGAACCACGGTCTCATCAGAAGTCCAGACACATACTCAGACTATTCCATCTCATCAGAGAAATAGTTGAGAGGAAAGATGTGCAAATTAGTAAAGTGCATACTGACAACAATCTCGCAGATCCACTAACAAAGCCTCTGTCGCAGCAGAGGCATGAACAGCACTTGAGATCATTTGGTATTAAATACATGAATGATTGGCTATAGTGCAAGTGGGAGATTGTTAGAGTATGTGCCCTATAGCCAATGAATTATTGTAGAATTGACTCTTTGTAATAATGTTCATTGATCAATAAAAATGCATTTTATTCTATATCGCGTAAATCATATTATATGTATTGATATATGTCCTTAGAATGGTAAAACCGTGACGAGGGTATCAAGTGTTTCAAATCTTGATAGTGAGAACCCTATGAGCATATATGGTTGCCATTTTAGAAACGTCCATAGCCCTAGTATTATTATGAAGTAAGGACACAGATAATACAGTAAGGCTATCATAGTGTTGAACGACCCTATCGAAAGGCAGTGACTGATCTCACTTTTCAAGGTTGTTTGGTAACAACCTGGTGCAACACATGGGTGCTTGCTATAGGCAAGTTCACTAGACTGACCCACCAGAGGATTCCATATGGATGGTAACCCCAGTGTCTATGGAACAAATCCTCTAACGAATGGTGGTGCATGTGATCCTTAGACTTGAGATCACCGGAGCGCCTTGTGCACCGATTGGTATAGTTTGACACTAGCCTAACGCAGTTCTTTTCAGAGCTGTCAATACGGTGGTGATTGGCTGCATCAAGGAGTGTATCAAGACTATGGTGGTGGATCGACAGAGGATTCATCACTCCTGTGTACGGGAGAAGTTATCTCACGGCGTAATTCAGTAAATGGCAATGACACTAAAACTGTGGCCACAGTGGGATTAAGTTGTTGCCCAATCAGTTTATTATTGGTCATTGGTCTAGTAACTGAGTACATACATATCGAGGGTAACTGACGTTGACACATTTATGTGCCTCGGTCTTGATGAGATAACAGATGATGAAAGGATTGAATTGTACAGTAACCATATCGTTGACAGGTAGCTACTTGCGCTAAATCCGAATCCATATCGTTGACAGGTAGCTACTTCGCTAAATCTAAATCTATGGGTGGCCATGATGCCTTGCTAGGGGCCAATTTTGGTCTGTGTGTAGTAAGACGTTAATTGGTGTTGTCGCGATACTATACACTGCCGGTATGATGAGAAGCCTGCGGGTCACACACATAGAAGATAATTTAAGAATCAGTTTGTGAGAAGGGCGTTTTCGTCTTTTTAGGCAAAAGGGTATTTTGGTAATCTCACAATGCAATAAATTTGTTGAGGTTGTTGGCCTTATTTAATTTGATATTAAATTAAATAAACTGAGATTATATTTAAATATGTGTACACATATTTTTAGTAAAGGTCTTGTATACACAGCGGAAACAAAAAAATATAACAGGATCGTTTACACGAGCCAAGATCAAGGGTATAATTTTACAATTCATATTAAAGCAAGAATCTACAGAAATTAATAATCTATGTTAGAAACCATACGCACGTTTGGAGGCTCCACCACGATTGTCTTTGAATGTTTTGCTACCGATCCAAGTGTAGGATCGACCCACGTAGTCACACGAAGACAATCTCAAAAGAACCAAAAAGGGATTTGCTAAATCCTCTTGGCTTCAAGATTAAGAAAAAAAAAATCAATTGAAATTGATTTTTGGGCTAAGAGTGTTTTGCCGTGGGAGTGAAAGAAGGTTGTTGTGTGTTTTATTTTTCAAGGAAAAATCAATTCTACTTATTAATTAACAACACTTTTCTTTTTATAGTAAAATAATCAAGTTGCCCTAATCCCATACGGAATAGTTGGGCTCCAACCAAAACGCCCATGTTGCCAAACACCTCCAATTTGATTTATTTTATTTCCATCATTATCTCAATTAAAATCAATTAATATATATTTAAATATATATAACATTTAACAATAATGATAATATATTTAAATATGTGAGAACACACATTTAAACGTAATTTCACTTATTAATTTTTCTAACAAATTAAATAAAGGCTACGCATCAGCAAATTTAATGCACTGTGAAATTACCAAAATACCCTTTCACCTTAAAAGACGAAAACGCCCTTCTTTCTTCTTGGATCTTAAATTATCTTCTATGTGTGTGACATAGGCTCCTCCATATTGGCAGTGTATAGTATCGCGATTAACACCAATTAATTGTCTCACTACATAAGACCAAGTTTGGCCCCTAGCAAGGTATCATGGCCACCCGATAGATTCGGATTCAGCAAAGTAGCTACTGCAATGATATGGTTACCGTGCAATCGATCTTCATCATGCGTTATCTCGACGAGACGAGGCATAGAAATAGTGTCAACCTTTGGTTACTCTCGATATTATTATTCAGTTTCTGGACCAATGACCCATATTATAACTGGATAGAGCAACAAATCAACCACTGTGGCCACAGTTTTAGTGTCATTGCCATATACTGAATTGCGTGGGATAACTTTCTCCCATACCGAAAGTGATGAATCCCTGTCAATCCACCATAGTCTTGATACACTCCTTGATGCAGCCAATCACCAACGTATTGACAGCTCTGAAAAGAACTGCGTTAGGCTAGTGTCAAACTAAACCAATCAGTGCACAAGGCGCTCCCGTGATCTCAAGTCTAAGGATCACATGCACCACCATTCGTTAGAGGATTTGTTCCATAGACACTCGGGTTACCATCCATTGGAATCCTTGGTGGGTCAGTCCAGTGAACTTGCTGCGGTGTAATCGCCTATAGCAGCACCCAGTGTTGCACCAGGTTGTCACCAAACAACCTTGACAAGTGAGATCAGTCACTGTCTTTCGACAAGGTCGTTCAACACTATGATAGTTATCGTATTATCTGTGCCCTTACTTCAAAATAATACGGGGCTACGGAAGTTTCTAGAATGGCCACCATATGTGCTCATAGGGTTCTCACTATCAAGATTTGAAACACTTGATACCCTCGTCACGGTTCTACCATTCTAAGGACATATATCAATACATATTGCAATAATAATGATTTACGCGATATAGAAAAATGCCTTTTATTGATTAATGAACATTATCACAAAGAGTCAATTCTACAATAATTGATTGGCTCTAGGGCATCTGCTCTAACAATATATTTAAATGAATTATTGTTATTGTTAAATATTAATATATTTTCTATATATTAATTGAATTTAATTGAAATAATAATAATTAAAATAAAAATATCTTAATGGGGCTGTTTGGGTTGGTGCTTAAGCCTATTCCTAAGTGGAATAGGGTTTCACATGCACTATATAAGTGCATGTGTTCTATGAATTAAATAACACTTTTCATTTAAGTCATTTTATATTATATTCATTGAAAAAGCTCCAGCCCACTATCTGCCCCACGCCACTTTACTTTGCATGAATCAAATTCATTTGATTCTTGTTCTTGATTCTTGAGGCTAAAGAGGATCTAGCAAATCCATCTTTAGCTCTTCGGGTTATCTTATTGTGGACTACCGCTGGTTCGATTCTACTTTAAATCCGTAGCGAATCCAGTCAGAGACAAATTCGAAGGAGCCTCCAAACATGCGTATGAACTCTTATCTTTACTCTGATTGTTCATATTACTGAAGAATATTTGATTGAACATATTATCTGTAATATATATCTGGATCTTGGCTTAAAATGGAATCGATCACTGTTTTATTTTTGTTTTTTCCGCTGCCATGGGTTAGATCGTTTCCTAACAATTTCACGCTCGCCATGATGACCATTTTTATCATTGTGGTGTGCATGATTTCCCACACATTCCTAGTCTGCTTCACTTCCATCAGCTTGTTTCTCATTACTTGGTTCCTCCAATTGTTTACCACTCCTAAGTATGATTGCATTGGCTTGCTCTTTTAGGTTCTTCACCGTATCACTTGGCAACGATCCTTGAACTCTTCCTAATAGAATGTTATGAATTTTCCCCATTTAAAGTCAACTTGGTGAGCACATTCTCCATATTAGATTTTTTCTTTTGAGCTTGAAAACCAGGAGGTGGTTTATGTTCATTGTTGTTGTTCCATGAGAAATTAGGATGTTTCCGCTATGCAGGATTGTAAGTGTTGGAGTATGAATTCCCTTACCGTCTTTGGAAGTTATTCACATAATTCCTTTGTTAAGTGGAGCAAATGGACTCCCTTCTTGACAATCTCTTGATAAGTGATTACCCAATTGCTTTTGAATAGCTGAGAGTTGAGCAGCCAAAGCAATGTAAACATTTACATCATGCACACCCGCGACTCTCCTTGGAAAATTTCGTTCCCAAGGCTTCGTGTAATTGTTGCTTACCATCAGTTCAATTAAATTGTATGCTTCCTCCGGGGTTTTATTATTTAAAGCTCCCTCGCTCGCTGCATCAATCATAACTTGCATATTCGAAAGCAAACCGTTGTAAAACATTTGCACTAACAACCACATCGGCAACCCATGGTGAAGACACTTCCTTAAGAGCTCCTTATATCTCTCCCAAGCCTCATAGAGTGACTCTAATACTTGTTGGAAAAAATTAGTTATGTCACTTCTCATCTTTGCTGACTTAATCGGTGGGAAATACTTAGCAAGGAAAGCTTGAACCAATTCGTCCCAATTGGTAATCCCCCCAATAGTTTATGATAATAACCAAGCTTTAGCTTTGTCCCTAAAAGAAAAGGGAAATAGCCTAAGTGTAATAGCAAAATCAAATACCCCATTATGCTAGAAAGAGTCGCAAAGCTTCAAGAAATTTGCAAAATGCAAATTTGGATCATCACTTGGAAATCCTCCAAATTGCACCGATTGTTGTATCATTTGAATTATAACATGCTTGATTTCAAAATTATTTGCTGGCACTAGTGGTCTCCTGATGCTAGAAGCACATCCCTCAATGGTAGGACTTGAGTAATCCCTTAATGCTCTATGGACAACTACATTACCCCCTTGGACTTCCTCATTCTCATTCTCTTGATTATTCATACCTTGTTTTATAATTCCCCTTTCAACCATTGCAATTGATTTTTGTGTGTTGGCTTGCCTCTTTTCTTTTCTCAACTTTTGAAGTGTTCTTTCAATTTCATAATCGAAAGGAACAAGATTTTCACCCCTTGGACGTAAACACTCTAGGACCTAAACACCAAAAAGAAAATTAAAATTAAAAAAAAAAAAAATCAAATTAGCAACTAAATAACTCATACTGATATTAGTAAAATAAAATGGTAATTCCCCGGCAACGGTGCCAAAAACTTGACAAGCTTTTCGCAAGTGTACAAAATTGCACAAGTAATAAAGGATGAATAACAAGTGTCGAATCCCAAGAGAATTACTGTTACCAAGTACCAAACTAACCTATCTTATTACTATTTGATTAATCAAATTTCGCAAGAATGAATTACTAAAATTGAAACAAATTAAAAATTAAACAACAGTAGAATTTTTATTAAAACTATGGTTGAAAATCAATACGACTAAACCTAGGACACAGATTTCACACCAATTTAATCTTATACATTGATAATGATTGCTAACCTAATTAAGCCTTTTCTAAAGGTCAAGGTCAAATTTCTTAATATTCTGCTAACTTTCACTTGAATAATTACCGGATTAACTTTTAAGCATGAACCCAAGATACATCTAAATTGGATTTAGAAGCTGAAAGATCATTACGTTTTATGGAATTTACCAAAGCATCATAGATCGTGGTAACATATCTCTAGCATTCGTTTAATCTATGGCTTTATTACCTTAGACTAATTAGGTTTCATCTCTTCATCTCAACCTAATCCATAAAGTCATTCAACTCTCGGATCCATAAGAATTAAATGCATTACGTGCAATAATAAAACTTAGAGCAATGCTTAATTAAAAATTAACAATAATAAAATCAACACATATTTATAAATCGGGCTACATCTGAGCCCTAGAAAATATATTTAGATCTTAGCTCTAGAAAATATATTTAGTTCATACTTTCAATAATAAAAACAATCATTGTATTAATAAACATGAGTTCAAGAAAGAATAGAAAAACTTCTCTAATTGGCAAACTAAATGTTGTTTTGATCTCCCAAAAGCGGCTAGTACTCTCTCTCTCTTTTTCTCCCCCCAAAAATAGATAAAGAAGTCTATTTATAGTCTTAGGGTTTAAGAGTGTGATTAGAAAAAATTATATTCCAAAATAAAAGAAGGAAATTCGGACTAAGCTTAACACAACCCATATAGGCCCAAGTGTTGTCGCTACAGCGATAGAAATCTCTGCTACAGCGTACGGAGATTCCCTCTAATGAGCCAAATATATTCAGAATTGGACAAAGTCATAAACTTAAGAATTATAGTCTGAATCAGCTTTCCAACGCCATAAGAATCATCCAATTCCGAGGTCCACATATCAAGTTATGGTCAAAATACTGAATCATGTTTCACGATTGAAGAAATTTCCAAGATTTGAATTTCATCCTTAAAGCATCATAACTTTCTCGTTTCAACTCCGATCCTTGCACCATTCATTCCTAGTCGTCACAAATTCCATCGGTATCGTTCCTCTTCATCAGTGTATCCTTTTTAACCATTTATGACCTTAAAATACTCAAAACACACTTGTAACCCCATAAAAGATATTTTTGAAATAATTAAGTCAAATTTCACAATTTAAACCTATTTTCCCACAAATAATCTTAAATCACTAAATAAACATGTATTTCCAAGCTCTTATCATCTTTCACTTTGGAACAATGGCTAACAAATGATATTTGAATGCTGAAATTCCTTAAAGATCCATGATGAAGATTTCATGCTGCCTTGAATAAAAGAGCTCTAGTCTTTATATAGAGGCTTGAAGATAAGTGATAAATATTTGATAATGAGATGAATAGAATAACAGATAATTTATAATTTTGAGATAAATAGAAATTAGGATTTATGTAAGAATATAAATCCCTTAGAAAATAATATGGAAAATGATGAAAGCTTAAATAAGTCTAAGTTCATTTTAGTAAAATTATTTATTTAAATAATAGATAATTACTCAATAAATATCTAGAAATTTTAATAAGATAAAAAATATTGAAATGGTAAATTTAGATTCATTTAATTTAAGATAAATAAATAAGGGATAGTGAAAATGATTTATATAAGAATTTTAGGATGATAAATCCTGCAAAATAATTTTATTACCAAATAAACAAATATAAAAGAGATAAATGCCCAAAATAATATATTTTTTTCCAAGATAAATGCTAAAACAAATTTTTTATAAAATAAAATTTTTGAATTTACATAATTTAATTGATAGAAAAGAGATAAACCTAAACATGATTTTTCTCTTGATAGAAAATAAAATAAAGTTTATTAAATCATTTTAAGATAATAAAGGAATTGATTGAAACGCTCCATTGTGGGTTTTTTATGCAGAATTAAGTAAATCAAAGTGTTTTAATCCAAGTAAAAACCTTTGAGAGGGTTTTTGGGTAGTTTTACATACTTGATCATGGTTAAGAAATTCCAAAACTGGAATTTTTAATAACATGAAAATGTTGTAAGAACATGGACTTTTACAAATTTCATTAAAAAAAAAATAGAATATGCATAATAAAAGTATAAAATTTGAACCTGTGGCTATGCAAGTGTTTTACTAAAAAAAATAAATAAATAAAAATCTGAAGTGGTTGAAACGTACCCATGGATATTTTGGTAATTTTGGGATTTTTGGCCTCTAGGGGTAAAATCGTCATTTTGCGGACCAAATCAGTTAATACTAGTGTTTTAACTTTTCAGACTAACTTTATTTTTGGCAGATTTTTGGAGTTTGAAAAGTATTTTTCCTTAGGTTTTTTAGAAATGGGCTTTCACACCCTTTGCTCCAAGATGTCCAATTAGGTACCCTAAGAAAGCCTAATTCAAAGAAACATCTGGGCCCATTAGACCTCTTTGGATGCTCCAATCCCTAATACCACAACACCATAGCTCACAAAAATTGTCACATTGAAGTGGATTGGGCCCACCAACCTTTAGAAAAAGAGTAATACTATATGGAGAAACACTTCTCACTAATTTTCTCTCACAAACGCGACGTGTCAGCTCGTAGAATCTCATCTGCCCAATAATGAGTCCCGTCTGACAAAGTCAAATGCGAGTTGTCACATCACGTTTGTGAGAGAGTGTTTGTAAGAAATGTTTGTCAGATTATCTTTATTTTTAGAAAAAATGAAAAGTACTTACTTTGGTTAAACCTTATTGTTCGGTTGTAGGTCATTTATGTGTGGAGCATGTCGAATCTTGTGTTGGGATACATTTGGGTCTTGTGTTACAAGAAGGCCTGTGAAAGGATGTTGGTTGGATCCCTAAAGCAAAACAAACCTAAAATAAGAGATTGTCGTCTCTTGATGGGCTTTCAACAACGTTGTCATCGTGTGATGGGCTTTTGTGGAACATTTATGCCATCTCTTGATGTGTTTTTAACAACAATGTCATCATGTGATGGGTTTTTGTGGGACAATCTATGTCGTCTATTGATAGATTTTTAGCAACGGTACCTTCGGTTGACGGGCTTTTATGGAACAATTTGTGTCATCTCTTGATAGGCTTTTAGCAATGGTGTCATTGTGTGATGAGCTTTTATAGGACAATCTGTGACATCATGTGATGGACTTTTATAACAGCGCATGCCATGGGCTTATCTATCAGAGTGTCATGGGCTTTTAGAATTGTCTTAGGCTTACATGTCAAAGAATGCCAAGAACTTTTGGGGGAGTTTATTAAAAAGACATTTGAAGTTTACATTTAATTAAAAGGCTATCAGTTTTAAAATGTTAACTAAATAGGCATATTATTGATTAAGGGTAATTAGTGTTTAATTAAGATTAATGTAATCTTTTCAAAATTATACTATATTTCCACAAACCCGAAATTGTTGCAAATAAACCCAAAAACGTTCTTCTTCCTCCCGCCATTAACGCATCTCTACCTCTGCATCTTCTTCTCTTCTTCTTGGCTTCGTCTACATCTTCTTCTTCCTCTGCATCTTCTTCTTCTTCCTCCTTCCTGTACATCTTCTTCTTCATCAGTACTCTATATCTTCTTGTTCCGCCATTAACACTTTCTTCTCCTCCACCATTAACATCTTCTCCGGCAAAGATCCCCCTCTCTCCTCTGAAATTTCGTCTAAGTATGTGTATCTCCTTTTACTTTTATATTTAGATTTACAAAGATTTAATAATGGATGGGGTTTGGGTTAGATTTTGATTTAGTTGTTTTAGGTTGTTGGGTTGTGTTTGATGTAATGCAACTTGAAAGGAGTGAAATTTGTGAAAATTTGTTCTGGGGTATTTATTTTCTTGGGTATGATGGATCGATTGTAGGTGGAGATGACTGAAAATGTGGTCTGGGTACGATGGATCGCTTAAGCAATCTGGTGATCGCTTAAGCGATCCGGTAGGTCTGGTAATGTAGCAGATAGATCGCTTAAGCGATCAGGTATGTGGCATATGATCGCTTAAGCGATCTGGTTAAAGTCTGTTGTATGGGAGCGATCGCTTAAGCGATCAGTAAATGGCATAAGA